TGGAATCACACTGAAGTCACATGACTAATGACTGGAATATTTCATGGGAAAATGAAGCTAAGGAAAAAGGACAACATTTACAGACAGGTCGTTGAGATAAGTTTGACCTTTGACCTTGCTTAAGTAAAATACATTCATTTGCTATTTTCTTATTCTGCTTGTGTGTGATTTTATAGTGTACTTTTTCTGGCAGTGGGGGAAACACTGTGGTCAATAAATAACCACTGACCACAGATACTGTTGGAAAACTGGACGGACGTCAGGTTTTCAAATGTGAACTGTGGAAAAAGACTGTAAGAAGTGGGCGGATTTATTCATAATGGAGGACGAAGTCGCTCTAACTTTAGTGTGTAGCATTATTTTCCCTCGCTCCTCTATTCTTCACACTCGGACTTTAGGAGTGCTGTTAAAATGCTGTGTCAGTAACGTACCCTCTTCTTCCTCCTGAACCTCTGTCTCCCATTTTTCTGCTGCCTCATCCTCCAGCACCTCCTCCTGTTGCTCCTCTTCTTCCTCTACTGCACCGACAGTCTCTGGTGCAGGAGGTCCATCTGCTTCTTCTCCTTCTTCCTCCTCTTCCTCTTTAGCCATCAGACTCTCAGGGCTTTGCAGCTCTGTGGTTTCTGGAGCCGAGCTGATGTCGGCGTCCACGTGAGGTGGAGCATCTGTAGCAGTGGTGGTCGCTGTGGGGATTTCAACCTCAGGTTCAGCGACCTCTCCTCAGCAGGGTTCACCTGAACCTGGTCAACATCGGCAGGTTTGTCAAACACCGCTGTACAGATGGGAACGCTGGTCAGGGCAGACACAGAGAAGGGCTCCTCAAACTCAAGGGGGGGCAGGTCAGCTAAGGGAACATCCAGCTGAGCTTCCACATTAATGTTGGTGACAAAAGGTGTGGCTCCCAGGGTCTCGTTGTCACTGGGTGAGCTGGTGTCAATCTCATGGATGATGGGAGGCTGACTCTCCAAGTCCAGGTCTTCACAGTCCAAGGGAGTGTGTGGCAGAGGACTGGACCCAGCTGGGCTTGAAGGGATGGGACCTTCACTGGACTCAGGAGAAGTCTCCTGGCACACCTGGAGTAAGAGTTCACAGAGTATAAAAAATTTAAATAAAAAATTACATTTACCAATCCTAGACCTTTATTTCATTTTGTATGAATAAGAATATGATTAGAAAAATGGGTAAAATAAAAACCGTAAATGCCCGCAAACCACGTGGCTGTGGATTCACCTGATGGCCCTCCTCCGACAGCACAGTTTCTACTGTGGCGTCACATGGTTTGAACTCCGCAGCAGCTCCTGCACATATCAACACAGCAACAAAGGTCAGAGTTAAAGGGGCCGATTATATTTGGTCTGAAGGGTTTAATGTCGTGGACCCTCTGTGATCATGCTGTACCTGCCACCTCCTCAGACAGACTGGGAACATCTCCCAAGCTCTCAGTCCCGTCATCAACAGGTCCCAAACTTTCGACAGCGCCGTCCTGCAGAGAGAGAGAAGATCAAGTAAGATCAGGCTGAGTACGGACCTGCGGTAAGGTCAGGAATAAATCATCACACAGGAGAATAGGTAACGTCTAAGCAGCAAAACAGCTGTCTAGTCATATTATGTTTCTCTGTAATTAAATTTGTATTTTTGGTGCAACACTGCCCCGTTGTGGTAACAGGGAGTGCTACAGGATGACTGAGAATCTTCATAGACAGATACACTTGCATGTTTTGGATTTCTAGTTACATCAACTAAATTCATGTAACCTACTGTGGTAGCTAGCATTCCACAGCACATCGACTGTATGTAAATGAATAGACAGCGCCACCCACTGGCCACCAATGACATTTTAAGTGAAAACAACTCGTCATGTATCACTGGGGGAAGTGTGTAAAGAAACACATGCCTGCAACTGCAGTCATAGATACATGTTTCAAACCTCAATTTCCTGGCATCAGTTTAAGTCCACATCCCAAACCAATATTGTATTGCTTTGTGGGTCACGGGTCTTAAAAGATCTGGTCTGCAGGAATTAGACAACAATCTAACGATGAAAACAAGAGTACTTCCTGACTCAGTGGTTTTACCTCAGGGGAGAGGAGGGTCCAACTGTTGGTGGAGGACGAGCTGCTGCCTGTGCTCGAACTGTTGTCAGACATCGCCCTCTGCAGGCTCAAAGTGGCACAGCAAGGTGCAGCTTCAGATAAATAAAAACCTGCAGACGACGACAAATAAAACGTGACTTCACTTAGAAGCAGTGATCATTTAAACAAGAATGTGGAGAACATATCTCATATGTTATCTGATAATAATGATATTAATCTGACTATTAATAGAACATAAGTATGGTACAAAGAAATGATTAAATGATACCTTCTCCCTGCAGCTTTTACTGATTCTTATGCAAACGACAGCCTAAGAAGATACAATTGTACAATAACGTTGGAATTAAACGGCTACTTTAGCGCACACAATAGATTAAGACCAGATTATGGATGACATATTATGTAACGGTTAGGCTGCACCCAAGCTACGATGCTGCGCAGTCAAATCGAGGCTTTAGTCGAGCAAATGTACAGGAGATCTGGATTTAAAGCTCGTCGTTTGTTCCTTTATTTAGCCCAGCCATTCATCATCGTGTCCATCGCAGTAGCAGACAAATGTCCAAAAATGGTCAAACCTCCAGACAAGAGCGATCCATTGATCCAGGAAGGAGCAAACACAGATTCAGACTCACTTGTCGTTACCGCTGCGCAGGGCGGAGATCCCGTTTTGCGCAGATCGAATGTAAAATGTCGGTTAATTTGGTGCTTGTATCTTGCAATATTCACGCTTCAGTCATGATGGTAAACAAAGGATGGAAGGCTGACTTTCCCACTACCACTCTTCCGCGTTCCCACTCAGGCCCCGCAGTTGGTCAGCGCCTGAAACACCTGCTACACTCGCGACAAAATAAACACACCGTTATGACAATCTCTTACTCACTTTTCAGTCGGTGGCTTTTTTCTTAAAGGTTTTGTCGAGAGTGTTGTTTTATTAAAGAAAGAACAACGCTCCTCTTTTCCTCTGAACTTGGGAACTTTGGGAATTCCAAGCTGCGTCACGTCGACTAGACACAACAGTCCAATAGGATTTCAGTAAATCTTCGGAAGCGCCCGCCCAGGCTGCGGGGTACGACCAATCAAGTGCAAGCGTCGTGGCAGGGACAGGGCGCACAGCAAAGTTTGATGGACGTCTGCAGGTGAAAATGGCAGGTGATAGGACTCGATAATAGAGCTTCATGCGTGGAGCTATCCCTGAAGATACATGTGTCCACACACATATATATACAGAAGGCTGAGAAGGACAGCTCCAGCCACACTCTGACACGTCTACAGAGTTATATTTGAACTCGGGGACTTTACCAGAGCGGACAGCCCCTTTTCTCCTATTGCTCCTGCTAGGACATTCATTTCATCATCTGATTCTTCTATTATTAGTGCTGTAATGGTTTTGTATGTGTTAGGCACATTATGTTTTTGTACCTCTGTTCATATAGAGGACCAAAATACAAATACCTTTAACCTAACTGGTGTTGTGTGCATGTACCTTCTGTAGCACGGGGTACAGAAACTGCTATTATGGATATTTCTTTTGAAACTACCTAGGACACTAGACCCAAAAGAGGGCACTAACTTACACATGAGCAGCTCCCATAATAAAACAGAAGAAGTTTGGATGAAAGGCTAGATTAGCTCAAAGGAGAAACTTGAAAAATGTTTAATTCAAAGCACAAATCAGAACTGTTTTGTCTCACTGTAAAAACAGACAGGGGGGTATTTTGGTTTAGCTGAGCCCCAACACTCCTGCAAGGTTGTAGAAAAGGTCCAGGAACATATTGATTTTTTTATTTACACGTTTCCTCTGTTTTGTCAATGATATTAAACTGTTGTAAGTGCATATTTCTTCTCTTTTATTGAATTTCTCAACATTTTATCATTAAATATAGTGTGTCACTGTTTATGCAATATAGTAGAAGTGTGTCACGTTTGATTACCTCATCGTGCCTTGACAGCCAATTAGGAGGAAAAATTATTATGACGACAATCTTCTGCGACAAACCGAGCTGGCCAATTGTAGGCGATCCTCTCGGTTGGAGGGCCAATGAGAACAGACAAACTGTATTTGAACGCTGTAAAGCGGGTTTGCGAACATTCGAGAGGGAACAAAGAAGGGGATAGCAGCTCATATTTGTGGAGAAAAAAAGAAGGATTAATTAACATTGTCAACGCCAGAAAGCTTTGTCAGCTGATAAGGTAACTTTCAAACATAACTGAGTGATGTCGCTGGGTCGTAAAAATGCATTTTTACCGATGTATGTCGTCAAGAACAACTTGTTCACAACAAACTTGGCTACAAGTGCTTAGCTTGCTACGATAACTTTTTCTACGATAACTTTATCTAAAATTCAATATTTGTTTTTTGTTTTGTTTTTTTTACTAACTTTTAAACATTTCCACCAGATTTTCACCATGTCTCACAAACAGATTTATTATTCCGACAAATACGATGACGACAAATATGAATACAGGTGAGCTTGATATTTATTAATTTTTAATTAAATTCGATGTCTTATGATAATTCACGATGAATTTAACAAACACCTAAAATGTCGACTTGATGTTAATAAGGTATTGTGACAGCTGTCTGTCCAAACTTGGTTTTAAAGAGTGCTGTTGTGAGATTGAAATCCAGTTTTTAAATGTTCATAATCTGTACCACTGATGGCCCCGTAGGAGATAATTAGCATTTAGGAGCAGAAATAAGACCCCTTGTGTTCGTTTATGTATTTAGTTATTGAAAATGTAGGGTGTATTTGTCAGTTATGTATTTAGTTATTGAAAATGTAGGGTGTATTTGTCATTAACTCAGTAAACTCTACAGCAGACTGCTTATTTACGCTATGTTTTACATTAGGTTTATGACCCAAAAGAGGGCACTAACATGTCTACATGTTTTATCGTGGCGTGGAATAAGTTTAACCTATAAAGTTATATTCAAAATATTTATAGGTACTAGTCGAGGAAATAATCTGGTTTCCTGCCGCAGTATTTAACATTTTCTTATATTTCTAGGCATGTAATGTTGCCCAAAGACATTGCCAAACGTGTACCAAAAACCCACCTGATGTCAGAGACTGAGTGGAGAAACCTGGGTGTCCAACAGAGCCAAGGATGGGTTCATTACATGATCCACCAACCAGGTATCTTACATTTTGATTCTTAATATTCTACTAGGTTTACTAAAAAATATAACTTATGATGTATGATGTTAATGATTATCTGCATTCTTATTAGAAACACTGACAGTATTGCTACAAGTCACTACTATAATTTGTAGATTGTCAGTTATTGTTGTAAGCTGTCTCTTTATAAAACTTTTTTTAATAACTTGTAATGCATGTATATTCGTGTCTGAAATTGTGTAATTTACGGTTGAGAAAAAAGAATTAAGCTAATGTCATTAATGGCAGCCCATGTTATGGACTAAATTCTCGTGAATATGATCAGATAGAGTCCAATTGCTAACTTTCATCTTCAGCTAGTGCCCCCTGTCTGCGATTATTTCATGGATGTTGACCATCTGGTGTCTGGCACTTGAACAAGTTTACTTAAACCTTTTGATGAGAAAACAGATGATTGTTCATTAGTTAGTTAATCTGGTTAAGCCCAAAAACAGGTAACATATGTTCAACAGGTGTGATCCCCCTCCCTGCCCCCCATCCCCCACCAAACAAACACCCCCTTCTGTCACCCAAGTTACACCCTACATGTATGTTGTAAAAAGTCAAGTTTCCACACAAGGAAAGTTATAAATTTTCTGTTTTCCACATTTTTATAGAGCCACACATCCTGCTGTTCCGGCGCCCCCTGCCTAACCAGAAATCGTAGGTGGAAGTGCTGTAGGCCAAGTGGGAAGTCCGAATCATATCCCACCTATCGACACTTAAAAAAAAGAGGGATTATTTCTGTCAGATTGACAAACTCGGGTGGTATGTGATTTGGGCCAACCAAGTTGGACCTGAAGGACTTTCAAAGTTATGAACAATTGTCGTGGAACCGGGTATGTTTTGAAGGAACAAAATGGTCGCCATTCTCTCGGGTAAAAGACATGGCAACCTGTCCAACCGCGGTTTATGGTGCATCACATCTCTTCACACGTGTCCATGCTGTTTCTCTGTCATTGAATCTGTTTATCTGTGTTTCTTTCTGCTTGGATTTTTTCCAACTTTTGATGTCACAAGATGTGGGTCGTAAGTCGCTCGAACATTACTAAATTTATGTAAGAAGCACTCAGGGTCACGGTCGGATAATAACACAAGTTTAAAAAAAAAAAAGGTCTGAAAATGTTTTTCGTCTTGAATGAAATTGAAAACTTGTGACGAGCTGCTACTGTTTTAAAAGACACTGTAACATTTTGTTGGCATGAAAATTTCCACCTTGATCAAAGACATTTTTCTATACACTTTTCTATGAGAGCACGTTGAAGGTTAAGCCCAGTCTCAAACCATGTCTTTTCAGTGGATCTGTCTGTACCAGTGAGCTGCGTAGTATTTATGAATGTTAACATTTCTGTAATAAATGTAAACGTAATGTTTTAAGTCCTATCTGTGCTTTGATAGAGGTGAAGTCACATCTGCTGCTGTTTGGTTAGAGGAGGCCACATTCATAAAGACAACGACTGCTTGTACTGACCATTTTTTATAAAGCTCTCCTAGAATAAATACTGAATTGTGTGACGGGCTGCTGCATTTTCATTGGGTTGGAGTTTATAATTTGCGTTGTCAAATATTTAAATGATTTATTTATGTTTTACACCTTACCATTAGTTTCAGTCATTGGATGGAAATCTTCCGTAAAGTTTAAATGATGCCGTCAACACATCGAACAGCTCAGTTTAACTGGCCTTGATGTTAATGTTACTTGCTAACTTAATGCAAATGTTAAAAAAAAAAAGTTTATGAAGCCTGTTGACATGAACCTATCTAATGCCAAATGTTCAGCAGCCTTCCCTTTTGGTTTGGCAACAATATTTTGTTCATCAATATGCACCACATATTCAGCTTCTCTTTTGATTGTGTTTTACATAAATACACACGTACCTGATCTAAACCAAGTGTGTGTGTATATGTGTCTGGTAATCGGTTGTTGGCTGGTGTCCTCGGCCATTGTTGTATAAATTTCTCATCTCTGCCAGTACAAAGCTGGGATCTGATAAAAAATATGCAGCACTTCCTGCCAGATGGAGCACTTTGAATGTGTGATATTGTGGTGTACAGTTGGTGTTAATCCAGTGGCACCGTGTGACTGCATCTGTCGTCTGGCACGGTCGGCGCCGCTGTGTTGTTTTGCTTACGACTGGCCTGAAATCCAATTCCACTTTCTCCTGTTTCATGTGTGGTGTGGGTCTCGTTTAGCTCCGTTGCAGTAATGGATGAAGTGTGTTTTCCTGAATGTGAGCGCTTATTATGGTGAGCATGTATAAAAGCAGAGGCCGATGAAACATCTGCTGGACACACACCGAGTGTTAGTACAATGTGGATTATTACTGCACAGAACAAACTGGATCGTTTTGCAGGTTATTACTGCAAAAGCACTAGTTAGGTTTGAGTCCTGACCTGGTTGTTAAGAAAAAAACACGTTTGCTGTGCGGTGGAAACCTAATAGTTTGGTTTTTGGCAGTCTTCTCAGCACATGCAGCTTTTAAAGTTTACAGTTGTCTTTGGCCTCAAAGTCATTGCTGACTTTTGGATCTCTTGTTGTTTGCTACACTTTTCTCCTCTGTTTTTAGCCGTTGGTGAATTTCAAGGGCAGAATCTAAATATTTGCTTGAATTTGAACTATGAATTTTTGCAACTTTCTATTCTATCTTGTTTGTCTTCTGATTCTTAAGGCTGATTTCAATCCATTTAAACATTCCCTAAAATAAAATTTAAAAACTATGGAAATTCAAGTCCTTAGGACTAATTTGAGTCAAAAGACCTTAAATCCTAATCTAAATTAAAAACTATGGAAATTCAAGTCCTTAGTATTTAGGTTTAATTTGAGTCAAAAGACCTTATATCCTAATCTAAATATTCTAAATATTATTGCATCCTAAAATTGAAATAATGTGTAGTATTGCAGATTTACTCAAAGCTGTTTTGAGTCCAAATGTCACACCTCGCAGCCCTCTCCTAATTGAATAAAGAAACCTTTATTTTATGTGCATTAGTTTAATAAAACAAACATTTCCCTGCTTAAAAACATGTTTCTTATAGTATTTATTCATTAGTTTTCGCAAAAAAAAAATGTTTATTTCCTATTTTCACCTGTAGAGGGCACTGTAGTATAACTAACGATACAGTATAATGGGGAATGGGTATTTGCATAGACTGTATCTGTAGGATAGAAGAAAAAAAAGCACAAATGTCATTTTACTACAGATTCAATTTCTTCTGACCCTAAAAAGCAGTTTATTTAAAAACCATGTAAATCATTTGTGTGAATCCTCTGCTGTAGTTTAGTCTGTCAGAGCTGAACAAAGGACTGGTCCGTGCACACATGAAAGCATCATCACTGACGGCAGTGAAGATAATTCACACACATCTGAAGTCGGGCCTAATGGAGGAGAGAAAGTGTTCTGTGAGGCACAGAGAGATTTCTGACCATTTCTGGGAAACGTTGCCCTGGTAATCGCTGGACTGTGGCGGTCAGCAGACCGAGCCTCCTGCTGAGGTCCAGAGATGTTTACAGGGCAGAATAAAACCATTTGACTCCTCAAGGTGGAAAAACAGTTTCTGTGTTGTGTTGGTTGGATGAATCGGTGAAAATGGCTGATATTTGGCTCCTGTAGGAAACATCCAGGTAAATGATGAAGAATAATTAGAATTATTTTTAGAAAAAAAATTGGATTTGTGTTTGTACAGTAAATGCATAATTTAAAAAAAAAAGCCGCAGCATTTTTGAAATTCAGGAGAACAAACCACTGATTATCACAGCCCAAACCAGTCCAATTATTTCCATCATCCACTCACTAGTAAAAAAAAAACACATTTATCTGTGGAACAATAAAAGGTAGGACATTTGTCTAAATGCCATTTGGAGAAACAAAGCAGTGAATTTAATTGGCTTGTTATGCCAAATTAAATCAAAAGGAAATTTGCATGTGTCTGAATTTAAGCAGCTGGAAAAAAGTGGGTGCTGCTGTTCTGTTTTCAAATTGTCTTAATACATTTTTTTGATTAACAAAAAACACTTTTGTAATGACAATGAAAACAGTTTATTGTTTCAGATTTGAGGTTGGAGCTGAAGGTTTTAGTAGGAGGTCTGCAGGGCTGCTGAAATATTTGGTTGATTTGGTGGATAATTAATATTGGTGTATATATATTTGTCTGTGTATGTGCATGTGTACATTTGTTTGTCTATATTTATACGTGTGTGTACTGCACATTTTAAACAACTTAAAAAAAACGTATGACCCTGTGTGTTGTTAAAAAAAAGATCACTTTGATATGAAACAGTTGTATTTATCCATATAGTACCAGGTCCCTGAAATGGGTTTTCTTATAAAATACAACTCTTGTTTCTTCTCCTTCATCTTCAGACTCATGATCAACTTTGGTCTCAGCCACTTACTGTTTAATCTTCAGGTCATAAAAGGTCATATTTTGCAATACTTCAGTCCGTGCGTCTGCATATCCTCAGAGGACAGAAGCGGACACAGCCTGGACGGTGCCACGGACACTTCACTTGTCTGTAACAGACAAGTGAATCCTCTTAGACCAGAGGTCAAGTGTGTGCTCCAGTAAGAACTGAAGGAGTTCAGCTGTATTGTCTTTGTTTAACTCCAGTCTCTGCTGTAGTGATGTGAAGATGCACCTTTTGACTTCCAACCGTCAGGGACCACAGTCTGGTTCCAATGAGGCAGAACCTTATGTTTATTACAGTTGGTGAAAGTTGTTGGTAAAAACTTCAGTTTGTTTCAGGTTCTTCAAGTTTCCTGTGGTTTTAAAAATTCTTTATTTTTGAGAAACCTGTGAGATGTTTCTTCACGAGTCTCTGTTGTTAAAATCACCGTCAGTCCTGGAGGTTTTTGAAGAAGTTCAAACAAAGTCTAAAGCGGCTCTTGAAGTTTCCATGTTGGAGTTTTCTAATCCTGCTGTAGAACGAGTGTGTGTCTTTAGTGAAGTCTCAGAGAGTGTGTGTCTCCACACACATTTATCTTTGTAACCACGTAGGCCATGAATGATGTGTTCTAGTACCAGCAGGTAGATAAGATGTCTGATGATGAATCATCGTCCTGTCCTGTGACATCACCTGCTCCATAATGATTTTCCTGTTCATGGAATGTCACGGTCTCCATGACATTCACTATCATAACACACTCTTTGACCTTTTCTGTAGGAAACACAGGAAGCTGATTATTAACACACATTTGATCGTGTTTATTTGCAGACGAGGCAACTTGATTAATTTCAAATCGAACCTCAACGGTCGTTATATTTTATCACATTTGTGATGGTTGTGTTTTGTGTCAGGAAATACCAGTCGACTGC